TGGGGGCTCAGTTTCCATCCAAGCATCTTTAGGAAGGAGCTTTCTCTGGTCTCTAAGATTGCCCCCGAACTTAGAGCTGGGTGGCCTCATGATTCCAGCTTTGACACCAGCCAGTTGCAGCCAGCAACCATTTCTTGAGGCTCTCTCTGCACCCAGTGGGCAGAACTGGGGAACATGATCCCTGCCTCAAGATGTTCATGGTAGTGGGAGACCCATAGTGCTGCAGGGGCCCAGAGCACTGAGTTCTGCTGGGTCTGAAAGACTGGGACAGCTGCACTTTGAGTGGGACATGAAGGATGGACAAACAGGATATCAATAGGAAGAAAAAGGAGGGCAAGGGCTTTCTAGGCAGGGGGATAAGTATCACAAAAGCAGAGGTGTTAAGGGCCAAAATATGCTCAACATGCTCCATTTGGAATCCTAATATTCTGAGTGCTCTCCTTCTACCATTATATGCAGTCTTTTCCTCCTCTATAGGTAGTAGCCCCTGGAAACAGAAAAGCCACGTCATGTCGCCAGCAGCCTGTGTTGGGCTGTTGGTGGGGGGGAGGTGAGGGCTGAAGGCTGGGCCAGAGCGACAATTGCATTGGCCAGGTACACGGGAGCCACCGCCACATCTAGTTGGGTCTGTGCCCACACAGTAACAGCTGCTCATGCTGCCCAAATGTCATAAGAACACCCCTCCTTCTTCCTGTCCCCCCCTATAAGCTTTCACCTTCCTGCTTGGTGTGGTGCCTGAAATTCCACCACTAGTCACTCTTTGGGCAATGGCTCCTATTATGAATGTGCATAGGTTGGGAAGGGGATGGCATCTCAGGCGATAAACCAGTTACCCTGAGGAACACAGGAGGGTGTGTTTTGACGGAGGAAGGAAAGGGACAGAGGAGGACATTTCAGGAGTGTAACAGAGGAAGAGGGAGGCTGAAGGGGATAGGCTGTGTCTCCTGACTGCATCTCTCTTTCTTTCTTTCTCTCTTTCTTTTTTTTTAAATATTTTATTTATTTATTTGAGAGAGAGAGAGAATGAGAGATAGAAGCACGAGAGGGAAGAGGGTCAGAGGGAGAAGCAGACCCCCCGCCGAGCAGGGAGCCCGATGCGGGACTCGATCCCGGGACCCCGGGATCATGACCTGAGCCGAAGGCAGTCGCCTAACCAACTGAGCCACCCAGGTGCCCTCTTTCTCTGTTTCTGCTCTGCTTCCCATCACCCCGTCTTTGGGGGTGGTTCAGGATTCCCGGAGAGACACAGTAGAGCATTTCTTTCCCTCCCATGGGTGTCCCAGAGTAAGGAGAAAATAACCACACCCTGGTGGGCAATTATGATTCAGCACCTTGGCCAGCACCCACCACTTCCCCCACCATGCCTCTTCAAGCCCCCTTCATTTAAGCCTGTGACATGGCCCTTTGCAACTGACCTCTTGATGGAGTGTTTCGGGATGGTGAACAGAGTCAGGACCCAGGCAGGATGAGAGGAAGCCAGGAATACTGCCCAGGTGTGAGCAGGCTCCTGGGACGACCTCTCCAGCTGAGCTCTGTGCTGCCAAGAGACCTTATCTCTGTTGTTTTCTATTCCTGCTGCCACCCCAGAGAGAAAGACCCAGAGCTAATGGCCTTGTTAGGTTCTGAGCAGGACAAACCCTGCATTAGACTTACAGAATCCCGGACAATCAGAGCCAGAACCTTGGCAATCAATTAACTGAATCCCTAGCCCCTCACCAAAAATGATGGGGACACTGAGGCCCAGGGAGAGAGAGGCACCTGCTTAGGGTCACATAGTACCTTCTTGAATCTACCCCTGACCCTGAGAGACACAAGAGTCTTGGCTCGAAGTTGAGTCTTGACTCACAGTTGCACAAATGCACAATGGTGTGGAGGGAGGGTGAAGGTCCCACTTTGAATCCCAGGGGGATCCAGTTCTGGCTTCTGCTGCCTGTCACTGAAGTAGTCCTCAAAGTTGAGAAGCATTCCCAGGGAGGTCCAGTGAAGAGTCTGGCTTTAGCTTTGGATGGGCCTGGGTCTGATTTCCAGCTCTGTTGAGTACTGGTTGTGGGTCCCCTGGGAGGTGATGTTTCTCCACTCAAACACTGAGAAAATGATACCAACCTCCCAAGCTTGTCTTGATGTTAGATAAGTACCAGCACTTTGCCTGCTGACCGCAAACTGGGATCCAAATAGGGATACAGTTCTCTCTTGCTCTGGGTAAGATCTTTGCTGATCCCTCTTCCTCCCCCAGACTGTGATGCCTTTGCCTCCCCTCTTTGCTTGCCTGTGTTAAATGGGGGATTCCTGGTATCAGCCTGAAACCCCAGATTCTTCCATTCAGGAATTTTTTGGAAACTTCATGCCTTTGGAGATGCCCTGATTTCCCAGAGTCCTGAGTTGGGTGGGCAAATTTGGCCCCTACAGTTACTCCCAGACACTGGGAAATGGGAAGTGAAGACTGGAATGTGGCCAGCACTTCTTGGACCTCATGCTGAGGCTGAGTGGGGGAAGGGTAGGAAGGACTGTGGAGGGGGTGCTTCTCCCCCAGAAGAGAGATCCACTGAGCAAAGATGGAGGGGCATGGCTTTGGGGGAGCCACTGAGATTTGAGAGCCTCAGGTGGGGTAGGGGGCTTGGGGATACTCTAGTCTCAAAATCACCTCCCCCCAAACTGGGTGCTCTCCATCAACCAATCAGAGACCTTTCCCTCTTTTCCTGCTGATTTCCCCAATATTTGTTCATGCCCCTCTTTCTAGAACTCCACACAATTCAATGACTGATGACTCCCTCTCTGCTCTCCCTACTTCCAGGTATAAGTGAAGAGGTCTGAGGCCTCGGGGTGCATCCAGTGTGACCTCCCTCATTTGCAGGTAAGGAGATGAGGAGAGGGGCTTGAGGGTACAGAAAGAGTCAACACAGAACTAAGATGAGGCTCAGGACTCCTGTTTCCCAGGTTGCTGTGCTGTGCAGCTGTGGGGTCCCAGAGCCTTGCACTTACAGTGTGCATGGCTCATCTGTCCATATTCAGGCCCCTGCCTGACTCCTGGCCAGACTCCTTCCCCACCAGTCAGAGGTAGGATGGACCGCCTTCTCTACAGCAGACCTGGGGACATTACTGGCTGAGGTGGTCCCACTCTCCACACAAGGCCTAAGGACGAAGATAGACTCCTTAAGATCAGACTCCTTAGGGCACTGACTCTGAGAGACAGCTGGAGTGAGAGGCAGGACGTCCCTAAGTGCACTGCACTTTGCAGCTTACCAATAAATCATGAGATGGGTGTTATTATCCCCATTTTTCTCGTGGAAAAGCTGAGGCCCAGAGAGGTTAAGTCATTTCTCTAAAGTCATACAGTAATGGAGCCTGGGTTCAGGCCCAGGTTTGTGGAATTCAGGAGACCATGACACTGTCTCGTGAGCTCCCCTTTGCTCCCAAGGCTACAACTAACCCCTCCTCCAGGCAAACTGCCAGTCTTCCCTGACTACTAAGTTGTAATGTAAGTGCTGGCTTTAGAACTTAGTTCTAATCCAAGCTTTGCCCCTTACCAGCGTGGGACATGGGACTGTGGGTATGTCACATCTTCTCTCTGAGCCTCATTTTCTACCTCTGTAAAATGGGCATAATATTACATACTCAGTAGGGCTGCTTTGTGGATTAGCCATGTTAATATATGTATACATATACGTATACTGCCTGGGAGAGAAAAGGTGGGCCTTTTTCAAAATAAATGGAACTGACCACTGACATTCTGTAACTTTAATACAAATTCATCATAACTCACAAAATGGGCAACATTTAAAATAAAAATACTGCTGGGGGTGGCCCAGATTCTGGTAGATGTAGGGGCGGGGCGAGATTGAGGATTCCTCCTGCCTGAGAGGGATGCCAATGGGCAGCAGTTGCAAGGGGAGCCCCCCAAGTTCAGCTAGTCTGGCTCCTTTGGGATGAGTGTGGTCAGGGACCCCACGAGCTCCGAATCTAGGCTCTGCCTGAGAAAACAAAGCTGAGGGTTGAGACATTTCGGCTGTGCCTACAGATCCACCTCCTGGGCCTGTCACCCCTGGGCAGGGCCAGAGCCAGGGAGCAGGACAGCTGGAGGCTCTGCTGCTTCAAAGCCAAGACCTGGAGGTGAACCCCTGTGCACCGGCTTGTTCAGCATCCGCTCTCATTTCCTTCTGCGCCCTTTTTGTGTGGCTGGGCCTGGAAAGAAGAATCCATTTCCCAGACACCCTTGCAGCCAAAGTTCTGGGCCGGGTTTGTGTTTCCCCAACAGGGCCCCTCATCCAGATTGGGATTTGGGAATTAAATTGAGTGGGAGAGAGGTGGGCCTCATGACATCCATTTGCTGGCATGCCAGCAGTGGAGGGAGCACAGCTCTGTGGTCCTCGGCTTCCTGATTCGGTGGCTTCCTGCAGATGGGAGCAGCGTTTCTGATCAGGACAGGCATGATGAATCTGGTGGCTGGGAGTTATTCCTGGAAATCCAGCAGAGTCTGCTCCTCCAGTCCTTCCAATGATTCTGCAAAGCCATCAGGGATGTGATAATAAATCCTGTCTAATTAAACCAGTTAAAGCAGCTCTTGTTATTTGCAACAGGATCCGAATGGAGACAGATACCAAGCCTGATGGGAGGTCCCAGCCAACAGCCTGTCCCAGTGCTCAGGTCCTGAACGAGATGCCGCTCCCTGCACCCTAGCCTGGTCACAGAGGCCCAGTTGGACCCTTATCCAAGCTTCTGGGGACCTCCATCACCCAGTGATGCTTGGCCTGCAGCTGCCTTTAGGCTACTGGTCTCTGCCTCGGGCCCGGGGCATGCCATCATCCTGCTTTTCCACCCGTGGGCTGGAAGGTGGTGGCACAGTGACTGTAACATGTGGGCTCATTGACCGGTGCCTCCCACAGGTCACAACGTCATCTCTACCTGCAGGTCAGTAGGAAAAACAGGAACCATAAAGCTCTTGGTCTGGAGGTAGAAGAGGTGGTTCTCGGGCAACCCTAGGACCAGCTACTGCCTGTGTCCATTGTGGGCTGGGGTCAAGGGTAACATGGTCCATGGCTTAGCGAGGGGCAAGTCTTAGACATGGGAGCATGAGAGGGTTCCTGTGTATCTTTCGGGCTGCCGAATGCTGGCAACACTCTGACACATCCTGAGATCAGGGCGTGTGGGCAGGAGGGAAACATAGGGAGGTGGTCCCCCTGCCCCCCACCCCCAGAGAATGGGGATGAGGGCTGGGCAGAGGCTGCCCCAAGGAGAAGCCACGTCACATCCTCGGACCAAAGCTGCCTCCCCATCAAGGTGAGAACTACAGGACATCAATGCTGATAGAGTTTAGGAATCATGGAGCATGACCTCCATTTTACAGACAGGGCAACGGAGGCTGAAGGGTAAACAAGCGGTCTGAGACCTCACGGTGGCCACGCTGGACCGGAGTCCAGGCCTCTCCTCCCCTGGGCCACGCTCCTGCGGGTGGCCGCGGTGCAGGCGGTGTCTGGGGCTCCCTCTGCTGCCCTAGATGCGCACGGTATTGATCCTCAACGGCTGCACGTTCTTGCCATTGGCGTGGCTCTGCCCGGGGCTGAAGTAGGAGCAGAGCTTGCCCGGGAACTTCTCGCGGAAAGTGTAGAGCCAGGACATGTCGTCGGCGTTGTAGAAGATGAGCAGGCCCTGATCGTAGTCCAGGAACACGCCCACCTTGTCAAGCTTGTCGCGGACGTTGAGCCGGGTCCAGGGCTCGGTGCAGGCGCTGTACTGGTTGCCGTCGTGCATGACGATGCAATAGAAGCCGCGGCTGGGCTGGATCTGGATGCTGCCCTTGCGGCTGGCCGCCTCGTGGGCCAGCCCGATCACCCACTGGGTCTTCTCCGCCACCACCACCTCCCAGTAGTGGACGCCGCTGCTGAAGGCCTCGGAGCCCAGCACCGACACTTCCACGTCGAAGCGCTTCGGGGAGTCCTGCAGCGGCTGTGGGTGCAGGTTGCCATAGGCCACGATGGTGCAGTCGTCAGACAGGATCAGGCGCTGGTGGGCAGTGCCCGGGTCCAAGGTCAGGGCGGCGGGCACTGCAGGGGACGGAGGAGGGAGAGGAGGTGAGTGGAGAGAAGGCTGTGGACCCACTCTGCCATCCTCCCTGAGGGCCGCGTTCTGGTTGGTCCCCAGGAGGCTGTGTGATGCTGAATGCTAGCCTGCCCTCTCTGGTCCTCAGCTCCCTCCTCTGTAAAATGGAAGGGTGACGGCCAAGGTCCTTCCAGATTTAAACCTGACTGCAGCAGAGCAGGGACTGTGACTGCCTGGGGCATGGAACACAGTGGGTGCTCCACAAAAGTTTGTTCGGTAAACCGCAATGAAATCCAGAATTAGGGAACTTCAGAGCTGAGAGAGCTTAAAGATTCTCCAGGTGCTGGTAATCACCCTGGTGGGGCATAAGGACACGTGTGGGGGTGTTTGGGTTTCTCAATAGATGGGATCCGTGCATCTAAACACCCTGAGTGAAATGCACGGGGTAGTCCCACGACCCCCTTGCCACCCATAAATTTCCAAATGCTCAACCAGACATTCATTTCATTCATGAAAAACATTTTTACAATGACCTAAAATTACATCTTAACTCCATTTTATGTATGAACAGGATATAATTTTTGTACAGTTTTAATATACTGAGTAGTTTGGAACACTACTACCATGGAAACTGAGGGGAGACTGAATTTGTGTTGTTTAGAACTTCATTGAGAATTGTTCAGTTTTGGGGAAAATACATCTGTTAAGAAAAATGCCACTGACTCATAAAATCTACCTGTTTGGGGCCACATTTGAGGCAGAATGGTGTTTTACCTATGGTGTGAGCACCTGAGTACTTCATTATGTTTTCCAGTGTGGTTATAGTGAGCACCAAAGATTGTCATGTGCAATATTTTCTTATAAATCATTTCCATGTATTTTTCCCTTATATTATCATCAGAGTGTGGATATATACAATTTCAAGTATATATATATATATATATGGATATATATATATATATGTATGTATATTATCTTTGAGACATTACAAATTTTGTTAGGAAATGTAGGTGACAGGTCTGAAAGGGCTGTAAACCATTAATTCTGAGCCAACTCTTCCATTTGACAGATGGGGAAAATGAGACCCAGAGAGGAGAGGGGACTAATCTCAGGTCACCCAGCACCTAGTGGCAGAGTGAGGACTAATCAAAGCCATGTGCAATCTGGCCCCAGCCCTCTCCTCCAGCCTCCCTGTCACATGCCGCCCAACCTCACTCAGCCCCAAAGCCTCCACTCAGACTGTTCCTCCATTGACTCCTCTCCGCTTGTAATCACCCCTGCATGTGGCTCGGCCCATCCTCTGGGAAGCCTTCTTAGTTGCCCAGCAGGTGTGCTGACTCTTTCTTCTGAGCTTCCTTAACTTCGTGTCCTCTCCTGATTCTACAAGGGGTACAGTCTCCTGTGCCCACCTCTTACACCCATTTGCACCAGAAGGGCAAGAGCTGTGTACCATCCAACTAGGCTCTCCTTCGTGTGTCCAGTGCCCAGCACAGAGCCAGGCATGGTGAAGGTTTCCAGAAAGGCTCACCAAATTAAACCGACCCTGTTTGTGTTGCTCTTGGGCAGGCAGCACAGGCTGGGTCATCCTGCTCAGGGCTGGCCACACTGGCTTAGCAGGGCTGGCCACACTGGCTTAGCAGGTCTGGCTCTCAGAGTCTCTGTTTACTCTTTCCTCCGTGAGGGAGCTAATGTTCAGCGAGAAGATGCGAGAACCTGGAAGTGGCCCTCCTGAGCCTGGATGACCATTTCCAGGCCAGAGTGAGACAGAGACGAAGAAGGGTGAGGGGAAGGAATCCTGCCACCAGTTCCTAGGAGCAAAGGATTTCTTCATGTTGCTCTCTGGCCCTTCCCTTATCTGGGGGAGCAAGAGCATGATTCCACTTGGCTGCAGCATTACCCCCTGCCTCTGTCACCCCCGTTGGCTGCATGCGTGCACAGAAATAAAGCACCTCAGCGGTGGCAACTGTCCCCAACAGGGAGCAAGAACCAGTTTCTGAACTGCGCTCCCGTTCACACATCCACTAACAACACTCACCGTTGACTTGTATCAGGCTCCTTCCACGAGCTGTTAGGAGTCAGTTTAGTTTTGCATTTTACATTCTCCTTTCCTGTTCTCAGAACTCAGAGGGCTGAATGGGAACAATTAGGCCTATGAATAGAGGGGTCAATGGAAACACAGCTCTCTATCCAGGGACATTGAAGAGGGGGAGCAATGAAAAGGAAGACACTGAATCAGTGGCTGAATGTTCCACCCTGCTGTCCAAGTGGTCACGGTGCAGCCTGCCGAAACCAGAAGCTCCTGCCACATGGAATGTGGGAATCCCCACAGTGTCGTCGGGAGGTGAGAGCTGGAGGGAGGTGTAGGAAGTGTGTGTGAAGGGGAGGCTAGGGAAGCAAGAAGAATCTAATTAGACACAGACGGGCCACTCCTACTGTTTGTGGAATGTGGGTCACACTCAGGCGTCTGTGGCAGCGGGGCAGAGAAGGCACAAAGCCAAGGTGTGGGCAGCGCCGTCCTGAGTGCCACGCGGGAACCCCGGGTGCTCAGGATGACTGAGGAGGTCAGCAACAGGCAGAGATTGCAGCGCAGGGCATTAGGACAGGGGCTGGAGGGTGGGGACAGGGGTTGGAGGCAGATACCAGCACACGGAGAGGAGGGCTCAGCCCCAGGCTCTTAAGCCTCATGGAAAGTCATGTGGCCACTTCCAGGGGCACCGATGAGTGGGGAGGGCGCTCAAGGAGGCAGCCAAGTGGGCTCTCAGTGGCTCTGAGATTGGGCCCACAGAGATGAGGCTGCTGTACAGAGAAAATCCTGACTGCACTGAGAGCCAAATCCTCGGTGTGGACCCTCACTACTTTGAAGCCCAGGGGACTGGGTAAGGGGAGGGCCCGCCACTCATTGGGTGGGCCTGGGGGCGGAGTCTGCTGCTCATTGGACAGCGCTGGCAGCGGAGGCGGGACCAGGGGTGGGGACCTGTAACTGGGTTCTGGGCCCAACCTCCCAGGGGCAGGGCTAGGGGCGGGGCCCGGTGTTCTTATTAGGCACAGGGCGTGGCCTGCTTCTTAAGAGTCTTTGACACCCCCAAAGGGTAGGCTGGGGTCCACCTCCAGGGTCTCCCATCGCATCATAAATAGAGGTTCTGTCTTCCCAGGCCCCCTTCCCACCCTCCGTGAGGCTAGGGGTGGCAGAAGTAACAGTCTTCAGACCAGAGAGAGACCCAGAAGGGGTCATGGCAACACCTTTTCCCCCTCTGAGATGTCAGTCGCTGGATGGGGACTGGCAATCCCTCCACCCATCCTTTATCCGTGGGAGAGCTGCCAAACCCCAGCGAAACAAACCAGTCCCCTGGGGCTCACTATGTTACAGGTCAGAGCTCTTTTCTAGGTCCAGAGACAAACAAAAAGCAGCTGTTGAAGCAGCCCGTCTGGTCTCCAGGTTTCTCTGTCCATTAAAGCCTGAGACCTCGAGGTCAAAGGCATTGAGGGAGGGACATGGACAGTCTGCTGGCCATCGTCAACCCACCCCACATGGCCCAGGTAGCAGAGAAACCCCCTAGTCCAGCACCAACGCTTGGCAGCCGGTGGCTGGTGCCTCTCTGTTCCCAAGGACAGTGGCTTGACCCTCAAAGCCTGACAGGACAGGAGATACTACCAGCTCTTACAAAATCTGCTGCCTCAGGCTTCCCACCTATTTAGGCCCTCCGGGTCACCGTGCTGGCATTCGAGAAAGATGCTCACACCCACTAGCTCTCGAGAATGCTGCAGCAGCCCCAGGAAGGCAAATCACCGTACCATTTGTCAGAAGAGGAAACTGAGGCTCCAGGGACACTTCTCGGAGTTAAGTGGCCTGCCCGAGCTGCCACTCGGGGTGGAAGTACAGTCGGAACTTGAGCTAAGGTCTTTTTACACCACGTTCTTTCCTTAACGTGGCCCCAGAAAGCCTGCTCAGCAAGACTGAGGAACCATCTGATGAGTCATGACCATCATCATCATAAACAGGTATCACGTACTTACTAAGTTCCAGGATTATTATCACAAATAGATCATTTTATTTCATTCTTATACCTACCCTGGGAGATCAATCACATCTTCCCCATCCCTGTTTTACAGAGGAGAAAACTGGCTCAGAGAGGGCAGTGATTTGCCCTGGGGTACACAGCTAGGAGATGAACACCCTGGAAGCTGAAATGATTGGATTGAGGCGAGTAGGGGGAAGGAGCGAGCAGCCCAGGGGAGGGAGGTGGCAGAAGCACAGAAGGCAGTGTCTGGTGTCCTCGGGTCTGGCTGGGGAGGAAGTTTGTGCTGGGGGGCTGGAACAATCTGGCCAGGCGGTTGGAGGAGGGTTTCCAATGTCAGCTGAAGGGTGGGACAGGAGGTGGGTGGTGGTAAAGACGAGAGGTTCGGAAGCAAGGGGAGTGACCAGCGCTAAATGGAGTTCTCAGGTGACCCGATAGGAAGCCCTCACTGGAAGCCGGGCAGGCAGGAAGCTGCTAGAATCCAGGGTCTGGGTCCCTGGGGGCGCCTGCCCCTCCCATAAAGGGCCTTGGTGCCAGAGTGACTTCACAGGCCCTACAGACAAAGGAAGGGGCCTGGCTAAGCAGGTCACTGTTCTCTGAACTCCCCAGGGACCTGTGTCCTTGGCTGGATGTTCAGGGCACACAATACTGCTCCCTCAGCCCCTCTTCCACAGACAAGTTTTCTCTGGGCCAGTGATTCTCAACTGGGGCGATTTTCCTCGCAGGGATCATCGGGCAATGTCTGGAGACATTTTGGGGTGTCAAAACTGGGGAGGGGGGCATCTGGTTGGGTAAAGACCAGGAATGCTGCTACACACCCTACCATGCACAGGACAGCCCCCTACAACAAGGAATTATCCAGCCTCAAAGGTCAACAGAAACCCTGCCCTGGGGCAACCAGCAAGTTCCCACATCCATGAGCTCACTTGCAAGGGACTTGAGAAGGAACTAGCATCCCGATTTTACAGAGGAGGAATCTGAGGCTCAGAGGAGAAAGTGACTTGTTCAAGGATGTGTGGCAAGTTCCACTCAAAAATATTTACTGAGTACTTACTTTATGGCACTATTCCAGTAGCAGAACTGAGCCTAGGACTCATTCATTTCTTTATTTACTTATCAACAAACATTTGCTGTGTGGGCTTCTAGGGATATAGAGGGATGAATTAGACCCAGCCCTGACCTCTCAGGGCTCATGGTCTAGTGAGACAGACAGCTACACAGACATTGACAAAACAATGAGACCAGGAAAGCCCAGGGCTACCTAAAGAAATCCTGGAAGGCTTCTCAGAGGAGGTGTTTATAAACTAGGACGTGAAGGGGAGTAGGAGTTTGTCATCAAAGACTGAGGTTTGTGGGGAGGGTTCTAGGCAAAGGGAGCAGCATGTGTGAAAGTAGGAGGAAGAATACGGCTCATTTAAGACCTGGAGATGGATCAGTGTCGCTGAGTATTATGGGGGTGGGGGGTGGGGAGGATGAGAGAAGGGCAGGGCCCAGGTCTTGTAGGACCTTGACTGTCAGGCTGAGGTGCCTGGAGTGCCTCTCTGAGCTGTGACAAGGATCCAGCCAGTGGCAGCCAAGACAAAGAGAGCTCTTGAGACCATCTGCCTGAGGGGTTTCCCTGGGTCAGCAGCTGGGGACGTGCTTCTTGCCTCCTTGAGTTATTCTGCTTCACCCACATGTGGCCTTCCCCCTGCTGGGCCCCAGGGTGGCGGTCCCTCCAAGTCTAGGAGCACAGAGAGGCGAGGAGTACCCCAGGAGGACAGCCCAGAGTCCCACCCAGTCTGCTGGAAAACGGGCCCTTCCCCAAACTGCTGCCCCTTTTGGCAATGAGGCCACAGATCCAGATTTAAGAGTACTAGGCGCTGTCCCCTCGCTTCTGGGAAATTGGTAATGATGTATCAGATGTGGCTTTCGGTCACCTACAGGGGAGCCCCATCTCTGTCCAGCATTCATGCCCCCAGTGATGTCTTCTGCCCTCTCCATCCCTCCCTGGAAGGCCCCATCATGAACATCCTGGGATCCCTCACGCTCCTGCCCTCCCCATGGCCTTTGCTGGTGCAGTTCCCCACAGGAGGGACAATCTGGAGGCCCACCAGGCCCCACCCTTCCCCGAGTCGCAAAAGCCTCAGCCTTCAGTGCTCAGTTCAAACATCATCTGTTGAGGGCTTCTCCTGGCCCCTGCCCTGTGCCATCCAGAGCCTCCTGTTTCCCCCTCCGGGTTTCCCCAGCCCTGTGTGAGCCCCTCATCATAGCTTGTCCCGCTGGGCTGTCAGGGTCTGGAAGGGTCTATTTGACCATCTGTTTCTCCTGACCCCTGAAAATGCCTGGAAGGACTTTCAGTGTCTGTGGGTCGAAAGAATGAATCCAGGCACGGGGACAGAGCTCTGACTGCTGTGTGACTATGGGAAATCAGTGAGCCTCTCTGAGCCTCAGTCTCCCACCCTGTCTTCCTGGGTTGGCGTGAGGCCAGAGGATGCCTGGTTGGCTTAGTAGGTAAAGGCACAGGCTCTGGGCTCTGAGGGGTCTGAGTGCAAATCCTGGCTGTAGCACTTCCAGGTTGTGATCATGGACAAGTTCCTAACGGTTCTGCGCCTCTTTCTTCAACTGAAGAAACGAGGATAAGAGTGCCTACCTCTTAGGGAGAATTCCCCTTTGTAGCCTTGTCTCACCTTTAAAGGACATGGTGCCTTTGTAGGTTGTATGCTTTCGGGTCCCAGGGTCTACTCCCTCCACTAGAAACCTGTTCACACCTTCTCTCTCGGCAAACCTCCCGTCTCCTGCTCTTGTCCATCATCATCCAGTCGGCAGCCTTGCTTCCTACCTCACTGGGAAAGGGGAGGCCCTCAGGAGAGAGTCCTCCCAAGCTCCCACCCCTGCCCATTTACTCCCCCTCCTCTGGGCTCCCAGCAGATGCCGCAGCAGACCCCCCTCCTGGCCGTCTCCCCGGCCACTCTCTCTGCTCTGCACCCTCAGCTCTGCCCTCCTTCCACTGGGTCTTTCCCATCATCCACAAATAGACTGTTACTTCTTTCACCTTCAACGGCCTCTGCCACCTTCTCTCTCCGCCCCTTAAATCAAACGCCTGCCTTAGAAATAGAAAGCACTGTCTCCACTCGCTCTCCTCACACTCGCTCTTGGCTGGCCTCCTAACCAGCTTACGCCCCTGCGGCTCCACTAAGTTCTCGTCACCGAAGACCTGCATGTTGCTGGAGAACAGTCAGTTCGGGTTCTCCCACCTGGCCTAGTGGCCTTTGCTGCCCTCAGCCACTCTCCCTACTTGGCTTCCAGGACATACCCGGGTTCCCCGCCCCACTTCTCTGGCTGTTCCTTCCCGGTCCCCTTGGCCGGGTCTCCCTCCTGTCCCTACGATCTGGGAGTGCCCCAGGGCTTCAAAGTTGAGAGCAGCCCTGTCTCTCTCCTTTCACTTCCTAGGTGATGCTGTCCAGGCTCATTAAATACAGTCCACACGCTGACATCGCCGGCCCTGACCCTTGTCCTCTACAGTACTAGTCATTCCATCTGCCTTCACTAAGACATCTCATCCGTATGGCAGACCTCACGTGCTTACAGCTCTGTCCTTCCAGGCACCTTGGCCTGCATCGTTGTAGTTTCCTTGTCTTCTTTCTCTCACACTCGAGATCCGATTCATTAGCAAATCCTGTTGGCTCTCCCTTCAAAGTATATCCTAAATCTGATCACTTTTCTCTACCTCCACTGCCATCACCCTACTCCAAGCCACCATCACTCGCCTGGAGTATTGTGGAAACCTCCTAACCAGTGTCCCAGCCTCCACCCTTCACCCACTTCGGTCTGTTCTCAACCCAGCAGCGAGAGGGAGCCTCGAGGAACTTAAGCACATGCCACTGCATGTCCCCAAGCCCTCCAATGGCTCCCATCTCACTCAGCATGAAATCTGAGTGCTCTGAGTGAAACTTCAGATTTCAAGTTCTCACACTGGCCCGCAGGCCCTCAGGGTCTGGCTACTGCCACCTCCCTGACCTCCTCACCTTCTACTCTCTTCCACTCTAGCCACACCAGCCTCCTCACTGTTCCTTGAATATGCCAGGCTTGCTCCTGCCTCAGGGCCTTTGCACTTGCTATCCCCAATGCAACAGACACTCTTCCCTCAGAAACCTGCATGGATCACTCCCCTTCTTCCTTCAGGCCTTTACTTCTATGCTTCCTTTCTGGTGAGAGCCTCTAACTGGGCCTTCTACCTAAAATCACTATCTGACCTAACACCTCCTAGCTCCCTTCCTTATCTTTTATCTTTCTCTAATGAACTACGGATTTCACTTATTTACTTTCATTTTCTCTCTCCCTATGATGTAAGATCCATGAGGGCAGGGACTTTTGCCTGTTTTGCTCACTGCTATGTCTCCAATACCTAGAATAGTGCATGGTGTGATATGTGTTGTAGGATGGATGAATGAACTGCCCAAGGCCTCAGTCTCTTCATCTGGAGAATGGACATACTAATGGCCTCATGATGGCTGTATGAGGATTCACTGAGCTGAGTGATCATGCGGGTGCCCAGCACAGGCCCTGGAAGACAGCAGGTGCTTGGCAAGAAACTCTCCTCCTCCCTCTGCCCTGCCCCCATGCTGTATTCAGAGCAGGCAGCTGGGCAGGGACGTAGCCCCCTAGCTCCTGCCCGTGCTAACCGTTGCCTCTTCCTGGGTGCTCTTGGGGACGGGCAGGAAGGGCCTTACCTGGGTGGATGTCCTGGAACAGGGACTTCCAGATGGTGTACTGCAGGGGGCCCGTGTACTTGGAGGTTGGGAAGTCTTCGTAAGTCAGATTGGTCTCATGGATTTTCCCTTTAAGCCTGGAAGGAAAGCAGGACAGCAGGTTGCATTGGGGGCTGGAGTTTGGTCCCAACACTGGGGGCCCTACAGCCACCTTCGGGGCAGCTGATGAAGGGCGAGGTCATGTATGTCAAGTCTGCCAGCCCCAGAGTCAAGTGCCTGCTTATGCCACTTCCTACTTCTCTAGCCTCATTTTCTTCAACTTTAAAATGGGTACTGAGATAGCACCTGCCTTTCAGGCTTGTGAGGATGACGCGGCGTAATGTATGTAAAATGCTTACCACAGTGCTTGGCTCACGGTCAACGCTGAATACATGATGTTAGCTATCAGACTTGATCATCAACAGACCGATAATGAAGTGTTATCATTATGAAAGGTGGCTCTGGGACCAGAGAGACGTGCAGCTGAACCCTGTCTCTGCCAAATACTAGATGAGCGGCCTTGGCCAAGTGATCTAGCTTCTCTGTGCCTGTTCCTACAGGTGTGAAAAGGGGACGGCGGCAGTAACTTATCTCCAAGGGAGCTAAGAAGATTATAATAATATAAATATTATTTACTACCTATAATATCAATGTTATAAACAATATAATATACGTTTGTAATATAAATAACATTGCACTCTAAGTAATATTCTATATGATTCTGCTTATTACATAGAGAACAACTATGAACGCAGAAAGCCTTGTTAGCCCAGGCTCTGGCACAGAGCACATGCCCCGGAACTGTGTGATGAGGATGGGGCTGATGGCGTTCTCTGCGAGCCACCCCCCCGCGCCTCACTTACCGCTCAGACAGCGAGGCCACCCCGGCCAGGAAGGTGTGGCGGTCGGTCTCGGCCAGCCGCTCCTGCAGGATCTGGGCCCCCTCCTGCACCTTGCGCAGCTGCTGGCTGTAACGCTGGACTTTCTGCTCGATGTCTGTGAGCGTGCGCGCCGTGTCGGCCTCCAACTCCTCCAGCATCGCCTTCTGCCGCTCACGCAGCAGCCGGTGCAGCCGCTCGAACGCCTCCCCAATGGTGGTCCGCAAGCTTTTGGTGGAAGACTGTGGGGACAGTCATCAGGGGTTAGGCCAGAGGGAGCGGATGCGGGGGAGAGGAAAGGGTGGGGGAGGGGCACGTGGAAAAGCTCGGTGGCAGGACCGGCTGGCATCATCCCGGACAGCACATGATTCCACGCGCCCTTTAGGAAACCCACTGAGGCTTGATCTAGAGGGGCTGTGGCTTGAAAGACATCTGGGGGCAGCCTCTTCAGCCCTGGTGCCCGACGGGCTGGCTGGAGGGACAGAGCAGAGGAAGGCGTGAGGATGATGCCCAGCTTTCTGGCTTGGGGGTGGGAGAGACAGGGAAGCTGGGGGAGAGGGGGTGGGCGGGGAGAAGAGGCTGAGGTCAGTCTAGGATACAGTGAGGTCTTTATTTGTAAAAAAAGAAAAAATCACTCGTGGGGCTCAAGCAAAGGTGACAAGGAGATCACAGATATCAGAGAGCTTTATAAACCGCAAGGTGCCGGGCAGACCTTGGTGGTCACCCGCCCTGTCCTGCCGCCCTTGAGACCCACCCCCCCCCAGGCGAGAAACCAGAGCAGGAGGTTAAAGCCATGATCACAGGAGACAAGACTGGATTTGCCTACTTCTCTGCTCCCGCGGGCACTGCCGGGCCCAGGAGGGGCCTGCGTGGTGAAGGGCCCAGGCTTCAGTGCCCAACAGCCCAGTGAGAATCCTGGCTCTGGGTCTCTAGCTGTGGCAACTTCAGTTGCCTAATGTCTCTGAGCCTGTTTTCTTATCTGTGAGAGGAGTAGCACAACCACGGCGCAGGGGTCTGGGGAAGATTAAGCGGGGACTTGTTCCCAAAAGGCATGGCATTGTTTGAGGTGCGGAGAAAGAGCCTGATTACTGAGAGATGGTTTCTGAGCTGGGGCCTGCAGGACAGGCAGCAAGTCAACGGGGGATGCGGGGAGCATCGCATGGTGGGACAACACGGGTACAGAAGTGTGTCCAGGCTGCAGCAGTGTGCGGGACCTGCCTCTGCAATTTTACTTTGTGGGATTCTGGCTGGGAGTTCACAGAGTCAGAGACCCCGCTGTGTTCAGTGCCCAGGGCTCTGTGGGAGGCTTGACAAAGGCTCAATTAGGGCCAGTTCCCTCCTGTAGCGGCGGCAGGAAGAACTGCTGGCAGTGGGCCAGCCTCCCCGCGCATGCCCACCCAGAGCGCCAGGCAGACAAAGGGGGTGGAGGAGAGGCTGAGGATGAAGAGCCAGGCTGCCTGTGGCCTCCCTGAGCCCCTCCCTGATCCCTCAGGCTTCTGTGCGGGTCACAGGTGGAAAAGATGGGGCCTGCTCTCCCTGCACCATCTGCCACTGCCCTCCAAGGACACCGAAATCCCACAGCCACCCCTTCTGGCTCCTTCTCGACCCCTCCATGGCAGTGTTTGGCGCACTGGCCACCCTCTACCAGCTGCACGTTCTGGTTTGCCTCCCACCTCTGTGGCTGCTCCCTCTGGGCCGGCTCCTTCCGTTCTCACCTACATGCCCTCCTAGATGTTCCACCCCCACTGCTTTGAGGATGGCTCCCATGTCCTTATCCGTGGCGTTGCGTGTCTCCTGAGCACCACATTCATCTTTCCACCTGCCTCAACCACAGACTCCTGGGATCCCACAGGCCATCCAACTCTCTTGGTCCGTAAGTCAACTCTGTGTCTTTGGCAACAAACTCAACGCCACAGTGACCCTTCTAATGTGCAAAGTGGGTCAAAGCCAATGCTGTTTAGGAACCTTTCTTGGCTCCTTGATAACTAGTAAAAGACTAAATTCCTTAGCCCAGCATTCAGAGTCCTTAGTCTGATCCCAGCTTACCTCGCTAGTGCCATTGTGCTCCCAGTCCACCTGCCTAGAATGGACCACCCCCAAAACAAACTCTATTCAACAGGCAAACTCCTACTCGACCTGCAAGACCCAGATTCAAAGCTACCTCCTCTGTGTCATCCTCCCTAACTTTCAGGCAGTGAAATAGTTAAATGTCTCCAGAGCATTTTGTAAATATTCCTAATACACAGTCTCACATAAAATGTGGCTCCAGCTAGTGGACAAACCTCCGGGGGTAAGAATGACGTCTTTCCCAGCCTTGCACTTCCCGTGCCCATCCCAGGGCCTGGCACAAAGCTGGCAGTCAGAATCTGCTTGAGAGGTGAAGGAGGGAAGAGTCTTGCCAAAAACTGCTCTGCAGAGGTGGGTGCAGACTCCATCTTCTTTTTAGGATGGGGGTCTAGTGTCTCCAGGACAAAAGAGGATGGGTAGGAAAAGGGGGAGAGGCAGGGAGAGGGCAGCTCAATAGTGGAACATCAGACTGACAGCCAATCACAGGGGCTTCAAGTATGTCCCTAAAAGGTCTTCCCAATGTACCTGTCTTGCTGACCACAAAGCCATAGATCTGGATGAGGACCTCCCAGCTTGGGGCTGGAATATGCACTAGGTTCTGACAGAATTGGACAGTAAGCTCCCAATTAACCACTCACTAGCTGTGGGGCCTTAGGCTGGTTTCTCAACATCTCTGTGCCTCAGTTTCCTTGCCAATAAAATAGAGATAACATTCCTGCCTCAGAAGGTGTCCCCCTCACATCACACATACACTCATCTGTTCTACAACTATTTATTATGTGGGAAGCACTGTGCTAGGTTCTGGGGAGTCCTGCTGTCATAGAGGTAACACATTCTGTGGGGTTCAGTGAGACAATGAATGGGAAACACAGTTACCAGCTCACCTGGCATGCCCCATTTATTCTAGTTTTTTCTAGGGCAGAGCCACCCCCACCCCACCCCCAACCCCTTTGGTGCTGTGGCTGGGAAAGCAGCCTCTACCCCAGCCCACCACATCCCTGGGAACACACAGGGGCTCGAAGGAACTGGGGCCGGTTCAGAAAAACACCCTGCCAAGAATGCGTCACTTGGTCAGCACTGACCAAGGAAAACATTGGGCCCAGGGAGGGAGATCAGACAGGCCCTCAGGCCGGGCCATTGGAGGGACAGGCGCTGCAGGAAGGCCGAGTCAGGCACCAGGTGAAATATGACCTCCAAAGCATCCATAGGCATTTCTTGTATAAACACCCCAGTCCAGACAGGAAGCAGGGCTGGGGGAACTGGAGGGGGAGGTGGCCCCACAGGACCCCCCAGAGGTAGACAGATGGACAGGAAAGCAGGGGAGGAAAAGGTCAGTGGAGAAAAACAATGGGGAGTGGAGAGACGAGAACGCCGGGGAAAAACTAGACCATAATATTCGCTCTCATTCACATAGAGGCTTCCATTTGCTTCTCTTCACCTGAGGGTGCAGAATCACCAGGCAGATAGGGAAACTGAGGCTGTAGAAGGCAAATAGGCTAGCGTCCTCTGTTTCTCATCTATGGCCTGCTTAGGGTCCTGCCCAAAGGCATTCCAGAATGTTCTCTAAAGAAATGTTTGTCATGACCTCCCTGAGACCCCACACGGGTTGGTGGCCAAGCTTGGGCACAGATCTGGGTCTCCAATGGCCTTTCCAGGCCCCAGGTGACCCCCAGAGGTCCAGAGCATTCCTAAGGCTCTAGCTCAGCTGCTGCTAGCGACGGGGACCAGACTGAAATCAACGTAGAGCTTAGTAGCTGGGCCTGGGTCCCCAGTTCCTGGTCCCAGAAAGGGCAGAAATCAAAGCAAGCCTTGTCCAGTTGGTGAGACATCAGTGGGGGGAACTCAGAGGGAGGCCCTGGGATCCAGAATTTCAGGGCTGGAAGGAGCCTGGCAGGGTCTCCGGTGGACAGATGGGAAGACTGGGGGGCCAGAAAAGGATGCAGTTTACCCAAAGTCACACAGCCCGTTAGTGGCTGGATCAGAATCCAGGGTCTCCCTCTCAGGTCCAGAAAAAGCCTTTCTTTTCAAACCACTGCAGCCAGAGACTACAGGGATTGGCCCTACTTTGCAGTAGAGTCCATATCCCCGCGGTCTGCGTTTAAAAGAGTGATACCAAGGCTGGGCCACAAATCCTCAGGAGGGCTTCAGGGGAACACGCTCAGGGTTGGCTCCTCCGGACTGCTCCCTGGTCCCACCTCACCTTCCACCCAGAGCAGGAAGGGAGAAAGGGCCCCACCCTTAAACCCAGGCACCAGCCCAAATCCTTGCCCTCAGTCCTAGGAGTGGGTCGCATTTACCTTCGTGGAAGCTCCAGCCTCAGTTCCACGGCCCCCAGCCCCGCCCCTCTCATAATGGGTCCGGCACCTTTAAGCCCCGCCCCCTCCCAGAGGGCCCGCCCCCTCCGCAGGCTCCGCCCCCGCGCCGGGCCAGGCTCACCTTGGTCTCGGCCAGCTGTCGCTTCAGCAGCTGAAGCGCCTCGGTGTGCTCCCGCTCGCTGTCCTGAAGGGCCTGAAGCTGCTCCTTCAGCTCCCTCTGGAACAACACAAGGCCTGGATGCGGGGCCCGGGCCAGACCGCCGCCGCGCTCCCGCGCCCCGGCCCAACACCGTCCTCCCCGCACAGTTCAACAACCCCCCCAGTCTCCCAGATACCCGGGCTGCCTTCATCTTTCCATCTTTCATCTGGGGGTTTGCGACAGCCTCCTCTCTAGCCATCCCAGGAGTTTACGGTCTCCCTGTCTCCAACCCGCCTCCACATACATTCTGCCCCAGCCTGATTTGCGGGCGGAGACTCCGGGCTTAGCATCCTCCGGTGGGTACCAAGGCCGTACCACTGTGCTCCGCTTCGACTCACGCGTCCAGTGGGCTGGGCGCTGTTCTCAGTCCTGTGCTTGTATTGGGTCATTTAATCCTCTCAACACAGAGGAAGGCACTATTAATACCTCCATTTTCCAATGGAAAAACTGGTACAGAGAGCTGATGAAACTGGCCCCAAAGCATGCAGCCAAGCAAGTAAGGGGAAAACCATAAGTGGACCATGATCTTGACGTCAGGTGGGTGACATGGTTTCTACAGTGATGACACCCATGACAAACCGGGACAAAAACCCATACTATACAACATATGGAAACCTTAAGTAAGGCCACGAGCAGTATTACTGATTTTTCCTTTGCCTCAGGTTCCAGTAGGGCTCAGCATGACGCTGCTAGGGATTTTGTTTTTATTTAAAAATTTGATATTTTGTTCATCATGGGGTTTGTTTTTTTTTTTTGCTTTAATTTTTAAAATTGCATTAAGTATTATCCATCTCAATCACTGAGTTTTGGGGTGCCTGCTTCAATGCTGTGCCTCACCCTCGTGCCACACCTGTCTCCACCAACCCTCTCCCCTCACTCCCATGCAGCCAAAGTGGCCTTCTTCCTGTTGCTCCGACACGGGCTTGTCTTGGCCTCATGATTTTGCCCTTGCCGCTTCCTCTGGCCAGTGCACTCCACTCAGATTTTCTTCCGGTGATTCCTTTGTGTCACTGACATATCAGCTCAGATGCCACCTCCTCTGGGAGGTCTCGCCGGACCACCCCATGTAGAGCATCATCCCCTACACCCTCTGTCCCGCATCCTGCTTCGAGGTCCTCCTAGCACCTTCTGCTGTCCGAGATGCTCTTGCTCACTTGTTAGTGTGTTTACTGCTCGTGTCCTCCACCAGACTGTGAGTATCATGAGGGCAGGAGTCCTGTCTGGCTTGTTCACTGTTGGATCCCCAGTGTTTAGAACAGTGCCCAGCACACAGTAGGGCCTCAATGAATATTTGTCAAATGAATGAATGTGGTGTTGAGGTGGGTACACCCGTGACAGGGCCAGCTGTCTGCACGTACTGGGCAGTTAGCTCACTGTATCATAACTAGGTCTCCTGTCTGTCCCTAGTGCCCCTCCCCCCCACGAGCCCATGAGTCCTGCAGGGCGGACCCTTACCAGTCCCTGCTCTCTATCCCCTGTACCCATCAACGGCCTGACACTAAGATGGGGCTCAAGGAAGTTTGCTCTGTGGAAACAGCCTCTGAGCGGGACCTGGGTTTTCCCATCAGCCTGGGCTGTGAGAGATGCCAGGGAGCTGACTTACCTGTTCACCCTCACCTCCCTCCTACTCACTGAGCTCATCAGAGCAGGGAGGACCCTTGGAAAACATCTGGTCCGACTAATTTTACAGATGAGGGAGTGACACGGGAAGATGGTCGTGATGACACGCTAAGGGAAGCATGCAGAAATTACCTTTGCTTACTATCCCTTAGTCATGCAACAAATATTTACCGAGCAACTACTCTGTGCTAGGCACCGCCGAGGCTCTGGGGATACAGCAGAGAGTCAGACAGACAGTCTCTATCCACAGGGACCGTCCAGTGTGGTGCGGAAGAGAGATAGTGAGCAAGGAAAATAACAAAAGAACCAGGTGATTCTGGGTTATGGTCTGTGCTCTAGAGAAGATAAAGCAGTGCGGGATGGGGGCGAGTTTGGGGGAAGGTGGTCAGGGAAGGCCCCTCTTCTCTGAGCCATGACCTGAGATGACACAGCGGCAGGATGAGGAGCCAGCCTTGGAAAACAGGAGTCCCTGATGACTGATCGAGAAGGCAGGCCTGCCTCTTCCTCTTGGACTCTGGGAGCAACAGAACATCCTTTGCCCATTCCACAAACACGCGCGGAGGTCTCCTTGGGCCCACACGGTGCTGTGTCAGCAACAGGCAGAGGGATGCCTCAGGAGGGGTGCAGATGAGTTGGGGGGCAAGACAGGGACACATGCGTTAACATGACAGAGAATGCTGGAATAGGGTTAAGGGACACCAGACTTACTGCTCTTCCCAAGTCCCCATCTCAGTGAAGGCCACTCCCACCCCTACTGCCATCCAAGTGAGAAATCTGGGAGTCATTCTTGACGCTGCCCACCCACCAGGGCAATGGGTCATCAGGTTTGTCTTGCCAGTTGTCTCCTGTCTACACCCACTGCCCCTGGTTTGGTTTTCACCCCTGCTCTTCTGGACTGTGACCCTAGGCTCCCCGCTGCCCCTGCATGCTCCAAGTGCCCCACAGAGCAGCTGGAGTGACTGCTCTATGGGACAGATCTGTCCACGCTTCTTCCTCATGCCCCACTGCAGCATTTCCATGGTGTCTGGGAAGACAGCCATGAAACTTGAGCGTGGCACTCAAGGCCTTCTCCCCCGGCCCCAAACTTCCTCTCTTGGTCCAGACCTGCACTGTCCAATAAAGCAGCCACCAGCCACATGCAGCTACTAAAGTTAACATGATTTGAAATGAAATAAAACTGAAACTCAGTTCCGCAGCGGCACTGAGGTGTTGGGTTACATATTTCAAGTGCTCAAGAGCCACATGGGACCAGTGGCTAGTGTCTCAGACGGCACAGATGCGGAGCATCAGGAACCGTCTGGTCAAACCTCTGGAACTCTCTAACAGGAAACTGAGGTCCACGAAAAGGGACTGACTGGTCCGGGGCCACACAGCTTGAAAGAGGAGAACCAACCGGAAAATGTACGGCCGGCAGAAGTGAGACACAAAACAGGAAGCTCTACGGGGCAGAGCTAGCTCTGAAGAAGGGCCGCCATGCTGAGGTTTGGGTTCACAGGCTCACAACCACCTCATGAGGTGAGTGCCTTTATCACCTCCATCTCACGGAGGGGGAAACAGAGGCTGAGAGAGGTCAGACAGCTTGCCTCAGGTCACACAGCTCCATTTCCAAATCCATAAAGTGCAGCTAATATCAGTGTTGGCTCTGTGGTTGTGAGGATCTGATGATTTAATTCATGCCCTGACACGACGCCCAGGGTACACTCAGTCACTCTTGGCTGCTGTCATGGTCATCATCATCATCCCGATGACATGTGAGACAGGGAGTCAGAACTGGCAGAGCATCCAGGAGAGACTTTATTTCTGATGGAAAGCCCAGGGAAGATGGATGGATGCGCAGGGTTCCTTCGGGTCTCCTGGGTGGGGCCAGAGCATCCCAGGTGGACAGACTAGTCGGGCAGGGGCACACCTGGTGTGTGCAGGAAGTGGGGGGCAGGTGGGGATGACGGGAGCCAGGTCTGGACAGGTGGGTGGAGTCCCAAGCTGGAAAGGCCAGTGGGGCTAGCTGGGGTGAGAGCAGGGGGTGGAGGAGGCCTTGAAGGTCAGCTTGGGGGAGCTGGACTCTGCCGGCCCCATCAGAGCAGGAGCATGTCAGGAGTGGGAGAGTCGGGAGGGACAAACCTCAGAGGGCAGAGCCGCAGCTCTGTGCCCCTTCCTTTGGAGACGAGCACAGTTAGGGCTGGCGCAGACCTGAGTAGCAATTATGCAAATGTCAGCTGAGAGGCTCGGGGCTCCCATAGGTTTGGAGAGGCCAGGACTGGGGCAGCAGCTGGCGGTGGGCGGGGGGTGGGGTGGGGGGGAAGGACAGAGAGCCAAGGTTCCTATGCTCCCCAGGCCAGACCGCCCCTCCTGTGGGGCCACCCCTCTCCCAGCCTAGAGGGCAAAGCTGCTGCAGGAAGCCATCTCCTGAAGGCTTCAGGGACCCTCCTCACCCCTGTCACCAAGCAGTGCTGCCCAGGGCAGAGAGCGTGAACTCTGGGTTTGAGTCCCGGCTGTATGACCTTAGGCGGATCACCTCTTCCCCTCTCAGGGCCCACCTCTCAGAGCCTTATCTGTAAAATGGGCATCAGAGTCACCCATGGGGTTGGGGTGGGACTAAATAAGATGACCCCGTGAAAGGGCCACGTAGGTGCCCAGGCCCCCTCCCCTTCTCCGCGCTCCGATACGCGCTCTCTCTCCTGCTCTGACCCAAGGACACCAGAAATCTCAACATGGCCAACTGAACTTGCCCCACCTTCTTCCTCTCCCCCATCCCTCTCCCACGCCCAGAACCCCTGATGCTCCCGCTCCCCCCCCCCCAGACAGGCCTGAACTCTTGCATATCCTCTCTCTTTGAACCCCACCCCTCCCAGACCCTCCCAGACCATCCTCCTGGACCACCCGCAGTCTCTTGCAAGGCCTCCTCATTGCTCCCTTTGCCCCCAGGCTCTCCCAGCCCTCCAGCTGCCCACTGCCCATCCTGCAGGCCTGACCAGGCCCCGCTTGCCGGCTCAAACCAGGTCCTGGCTCCCCAGCGTCTACAGGAATGAATCCAAGCTCCTTGGGGTGGGGATTTGAGAGTAGGCCCCTGCAACCTCGCTCTCCCATTCCTGCCAGGCCCCAGATGCCCTCCCCTCCAGCCGCAATTACCCACCCGCTCATCTCCAGGCCTGTCCCTGGGCTGACAACCTAAGTTCCAGTTCCAGCAACACTTACTGGTGCCATGGCAGTGGGCACAGTTTCTGAGCCTCAGTTTCCTCAAAAGAGGGCAATGCCACCCACTGCACAGGTGTGCATGAGGATTCGGGGAGAGTGTCAGCCATAGCGCTGCCCCTGCCCCTGCCCCCGGGCAATGGGGGCCGTGGATGGCTTCACCCCTGGTGTCCACAATGTCTTCTCTCTCTGCCCTCAGCTCAACCGTC